ACTACTCAGCAACCTTGGTGCTTCCATTGCTGAGGTTGCAAACGATGCCATTGTTGCAGAGACTGGAAAACAACCAGCTTCTTCTTCTTCTTCCAAAAGCTCTCAAGGATCTGGTGAGCTTCAGTCATTTGTTTGGATGGCTTCTGCCGCAGGTGGAGTCCTGGGTAACCTACTTGGTGGAATTGCCATTGATAAATTCTCCCCTCAATCAATGTTTCACATTTTTGGCCTCCTTGTTGCTCTCCAATTTGTCATAACCATCGGCAGTCATGAAAGCTCTCTTAATCTTCCTAAAAGTCAATCAAAAATTGGGATTAGAAAGCAACTTTCGGTGCTCTTAGCAGCATTACAGAAGCCCGAGATTGCATATTCGATTGCCTGGTTTGCAGCATCTTATGCCATAATCCCCGCACTCACAGGAACCATGTTCTTCTACCAAACACAATATTTGAATATCAATTCCTCCGTGTTGGGAATCTCCAAGGTGTTTGGTCAATTCACAATGCTCTTATGGGGCGTCATCTATAACCATTATTTAAAGTCAATTCCACCAAGAAAAGTAATAGTGGCAGTTCAGGTATCTATGGCCCTGTTGATGGTATCGGATGTATTGTTTGTGAAAGGTATTTACCGAGAGATAGGCGTGGGAGACACACTCTACGTTGTGATATTGTCAGGGGTATTAGAGGTTTTATTCTTTTTTAAGATTCTGCCATTCAGTGTTGTAATGGCAAAGCTTTGCCCACAAGGGTGTGAAGGATCTCTTATGGCATTGGTAATGTCTGCAATAGCTCTGGCGATGATTGTTAGTGGATACCTAGGAATTGCTCTGGCATCTTATGTTGGTGTATCGGGGAATGATTTTTCGGGCTTTCCTTGTGGGCTTATGATACAGGCAGTTTGCACACTTCTCCCAGTGCTTTGTTCATCATTTATGCATGATGATGCTGCCAAACCCAAAACCATGGGGAAGGTGGAGTAATGTCAAGAACAGCATCAACTTTTGTAGAGTGTCAGTTGTGCTAAAAACTTTAGGTTTATAGTTTTTCAAAATTCCTGAATGATTCTTTGAATTTTAGATTTGTTTGTGCTATAGATAGGATGTCAACCAGACAATATGAATGGAGGAGGAGCTGCAGATGTAATTTGCAGAACTTCAGTGGTGACCTCCTTCAAAAGTAAGATAGGTTCAGGCTTATAGTTTCTCAAAAGTTATATTGTTATACAGGATTGTATTTATGAATTACAAATAAAGATTACTAATTGAATGATATGCTAACATGTTTGCAAGTTTATTTTCAAAACAATTAAACAAGACCTTAGTGTTGCTAAACAAGAGTTGAGAACAAAATCATGGTTCATAGACAAGATATCATGCTAATTGCAAGACAAGATTAACGTACGCAACAACCAAAACAATCAGAATGAACCATGTACGTAAATAACTCGAAGCATTAAAATAAGCAGAACATTTCCATTAAGATCAGTCATCAAACTCTCGAGTTAACATTCAGCTAAAAAGAACAGCCAGAGACTGAACTAATCTACACCCATAATTCATCATAAAAAGATACATTCTTTTGTAGATACTCAGTCATCAACCTCTCGAGTTAACATTCATCTAAGAAGAACAGCCAGAGACTGAACTAATCTACAACCATAATTCATCATAAAAGCTACATTCTTTCTAGATATTCACAGAAATAGAGCAGATACTAAATGCGGCCATCCCAGAGACATTCTTGCTCAGCCTTGCCAACTTTCAAGAGACTCTCAATTTCTTTTGGAGGGTTTAAGCCTAAGCGATGAGCACGCTCCCACCGAGCCAATCTGCTCATTCCAAGACAAGGACCATAAGCCATGTTCAAGTCGAATTGCCTCAGGACTTCCTCGTGCTCATCATACTCATCTATGAAGCAAAACAGAGAAAAATAAAATAAACAAACATCAACACACATCTCTTTGCCATCGTTGCTACCTGTTCATAAAATTGGTTGCTCCAAGTTGAAAATTGTAAAAAGCAGAATCTCTACCCAAAAACATATGTCTTGTTTGTTTTTCCCAAATTGGAAGTAATTTCGTTCTATCCGATTTCTAAAAAAAAAACCATTGGAAAGGAGCAGTCTGGAGATTCATTGCGCTACTCACAAGAACGAAACTGATTTCCAAATAGTATCTAAGCGCTTCTTTTTATCGAAGCTAAAACCGAACGGTCTTTTCAATGCAAAACTAAAGCAAAACCCTAAATATACAAATATTCATCATTTGCAAAGAGTAAAAGAAAATCTAAACCGAAAAAGGAAATGAATAAAGAGAAGAACAAAGAGTACCTTTGAGATCGAGGGAACCGTGAGAAATCAAAGCCACGGGTTGGGCGACATTGGAACCAATAGCTGCCGCGTGAATCGGCGACTTTTTCTTGGTAGAAGCCTTTGAAGAAGATTTCGATTTGGCGATGGCTCCAGTTGTTTTCTTCTTCTGTTTGTATAAACCCGCGAGGCTCTTTGATGTCGTTGCCATCTCTCTCCCTCCAAGCTCTGCAACTTTTCAAATTTTGAATTTCGAAAATTTGTTTCCCTTTGTGGTCTCCTGCGGAGAGAATGCAGAGCCTATGTATCTCTTATTCACCATTTGAATTTTTTTATTTTTTTTAACAAAAAATATCATTTATATTTAAAATAATTTTATATAAATTAATTACATTATAATTTTTTAATACAAAACACGTGGAATTTACAGCTCTACCCAAGCATACACCGCCAGCAAATAATTGATAAATTTTTTTTATCAATTATAAATTTGCTCATTCACTTTAGTTTAATTTTTAAAATAACAAAATTTTTTATGTGATTTGAGAGAATTTAAATTACATATGTATGTAAGTCTTAAAATGATTTCTAAATATATCTTAACTAAAATTAATCAATTTATTAATTATAATTATAAGAAATAAATTATGATCTTAATCTAAATAAACAGTATATTTTAATTAATTTTATTTTAATTTTCAAATAAAAATAAAAACTTAACAAAATTAAATCAGACATGGATCATCTCATAACAAGACCTAGAAAGACATAAATTCCATATTGAAAAATGAGACCTGTAAAAATTTGCTCCATCCAATCAAGATTAAAATTTTCTAGACTACTAACAGTACGGATAAATGAATTAAGTATAATTTTTTTTATTTTTTATCAAAATATTTAATAATAATTTATAAAAATATATATGATAAAATATTTAATGTTATATAACTAATACAATAATACTAGCTGAGCTCGAAGCTTAGTAGGCTAAAGACCAAGTGGTAAAGGAGACTACTACCAAATAAGAAAGACAGAGAAAGAGACGTGGATAGAGGCCAAATATATAATAGAATGAAGCACTAGATATTAAGGTTTTGAGTTTTTAAGCTTTAATTTTTTTTGTATTATTGGTTCATACCATAATCGAACTAATTTGAACCAAAATTTTGGTACACTCATTTAAAGATCGAATGTGAGATCAAACATGTAGCATCCCAGAATTTGGAAGGAAATAAATTGTACATTAAGTGTAGAAGAGAAATAATACCGTTATGGTTTATATTTCTTACACAATAATTCAGAATACTCAATAAAGTTACGAAAATGATCCTTTTAAAAGAACAACTAAAAGTAAACTAACTGAATATTTTATTCGCAATTTTTTTGTGGATCGGGATCTAAATCTTGATCATCTTGATATGAAATGGTTAATGAAAGAGTGATCTACACTAACCCAGTAAGAATGTCACATTACTCACCGATACAGAAATGTTGGTTAAAAATCATGAAAATGACTAATGAAACTCTTATTTTAAGTAAAGTCATTTATCATAAGTAAAATCATTTATTGTATACTTACCGTAGTGAAATTTTCAAAACTGACCTATAGAGGCAATGACACAGCCAGTCTCATAATCTCATGTACAATTAACCAGAACGACAAATTTTCTTTTTTATCTGTCTACTGGTATCCATAGGAGTTTATAGGGATGTCTTCATTACGCGTGAAGCTTTATTCAATATTTTCAATTAACCGACTGTCTCCATATCCCGTCCGGTATGAGAGCAAAAAATATCATCCCTCAATATCATGTCCGGTATGAGGGTGAAACAGGTCATCCTCATACCTCGTTCAGGATGAGTGCCAAAGTACCAATCCTCCATACCCCATCCAGTATGAGGATACGCTCACTGTAGGGTTTTCTATGTACCTGGTCCGTCCACCATCTCTCAAGATATCCAATAAGACTACCATTCATTCACTCGCTTAATTAAACAATTTTCTGTTTACATTTAATTTCTAGTTTTGCAATTTAACTATAAATCACACAAAACAAATAATACATGCATCAAGAAAACACAACTAAATCATCTTACCAAGTCTAACATATTATCATGCATTAAAAATTGTAAAATTAATCAAATAGGATAAACAGTGAATAATAACTGGTTCCGACTCTATTAGTAAGCTGTGATTAATTATTGAGATTTTCTAAATTGTACAAAATACTACATTATCTATAATTAAACTTAAATTCCATAACAGAGAATATAGTGAGGGATTCTTACCCGAATCGGTGTCCGAACACTAAATTTTTAACTGTGCCTACTAGCGGTACTCAGATTCTCTGAATTTTTCTTCGGATATTAAAACACGCTCTAAGTATCTAGAAATGCCCCATAAACCCAAAATCGATGTTAGAAACCCTTTTCGACCAATTTTAAAATTCCGGCACGGCGGCGCCACGGTGCTCCGGCGACGGTATCGCCGCCCATGGTAGCGATTTACCTCAGGTTGGCCATTTTTGACCGGTTTTGTGCTCATTCATGCGAGAAAACACATTAAGGGGTCTCAGTTGACTAGAAAATTTGAAAAACAGAAGCTTATTATCGGCGAAGTTTTTTAGTGCGGCGGCTCCACCGGCTCACCTTCTCGGTTGGTCGTTTTTCTTCAGTCAACGTGTGAAAAATAAAAAGGTGAGTACAATGGTGGAAAAATTGCACGAAATAGAAATCGGGAAGGGTCTTATCGGATGCAGTTTTTGATTTTTTTCACGACGGCGTCGTCGGGCTTTACCTGCGATTTTCGACTCATACGCTGGTCCTTTTGCTCTAATTTGGCCATGAGGGTATTCAAAATCGAATTTCGAAGAATGAAATTTTTTTTACCTCTTTTGGCGGTCGGAGGTGGCTCCGGCACGATAGCGGGTGGCAGTCGACTCCCTTTCTGGTGACTGGTTCTTCTTCTCCAGCGGGGGGGTCTGGCGGATAGGGTTAGGGTTTTGTGTAAGGTGAGGTATTTATATCCGTCTCCTTTTAATTTAGACTGTCCATCGCGTTTGATCTGTACCGTTCGATCATGTTTAAATAGGAAGTGAATCTGGACCGTTCATCACGATTTGATCTGGACCGTCCGGTCGCATTTAAATAGGAAGTAAATTTGGACCATTCATCGTGATTTGATCTGAACTGTACGATCGCGTTTAAAGAGCAAACGGATCCGGACCGTCCACACGCGCGAAAATAAATCCGGACCGTCCGATCGCGAGCATGCAGATTGCCAGCGTGGCCTCCCGCGTAGCACCGCGCAGAGTGTCTTGCAACGCGACGGACTCTGGTTTGTCGGAGCTGCCGACTGGCATTCTACGTGACACATTTTTTTTAAATTGCGTTTTGACAATTAATTTCTGATTTTTCTTTCAGAAACACCCTCAAAACCCAAAATTTCACTCATTTTTCCCAAAATTATTTTCAATTTCATCATCCACCTATTTTTCTTTAATTTTTACCTTAATTAAAAATTTAAAAATTTAAAAGTTATATTTATTCATTAATTTTAAACATATTAGAATTAATTTCAGGTGTTACAAAACATGTATCTTATTCGATCCGTTCTGATTCAACTTTTTTATCTGAACCAAAATTTGCACACCCGTAAATTATATTTTTCATTATAATAGAAAATCGAAAAGACCTTCCTAATAGTTATATTTTTTTTAAAAAAAAATTGATTTTTATAATAAGATGGATTCCAATAGCCCTTAATGAAAAGGCCAATAGGCTAGCTAAATGGGCTGGCCGAAATGACTTTTAAGGATTTGATTTGAAGAGATGTACCTTATATTATTTTACATTAATTAACTATAATTTTCACTAAAAAATTGTAAATCTAAATCTTATAAATTTGGCATGCATGATATTTAATTTATTAATTTAAAAAAATATATTTAAATCATTATAATAATGTTAGCGGCTCGTGATCATAAATATTGAGAGTTTCGTCATGGTCAATTTGATCAATATTGTGGGATTTTATGATTTATTTACTGTTGTTTCTAATAAATTTTTATTATAAATTTATATATTTATTAATTACTTAATATATAAACATAATTTATAATTCAACATAAAACATACTCGATCAAGAATATATGAGAGCAAATATCGGATCAAATTTATAAGTAATAATCATTTAATTAAGTTTTGTCTGATTTTTTTTATTTAATTTAATTAGTTCAATTTAGTTGGATTTGAATTTTATATACTTAGATATAAAGGAGAATATAAGAGAAATAAAATAAAAATTTTATGAAATAATATTCTAATTTTAATTCAATCCTATATACATTTTTAGTTATGGATTTTTATGTTTCATTTTTCACCAAGTGAAATGTATTTATGATATATATTATATTATATATTAAATATTAAGGATATAATTGTTATACCCATAATTTAATTATTCATGTAATATATTGAATACATTATTATTTGATAATTTATTTTAATATATGATAATAATATTTTTATTTTCATATTTATTATCTTATTATTTAATTTTTGTATTAAATTTACAGATTTTTGCATCAAGATGAAAATCTTGATAATAAAAGTAAAATTTTTTATGATTTAATTTAAAATATTCTTAATCATTAGATCATCAAAATATGACATATTTGGTAAGAATAATATACATAAAATAGTCTTTATAAAATAAATATTAGTTGATCTCATTAACTAAATCACATATATAGATGATGCATATGGAGATATGATCATTGAACAAATACAATTGAAAATTTTTAATAGTTAATATTATTTTAAACTATCGATAAAATATTTTTTTTAAATGATAACACATAAGAATTTCTTTTTACTTGAAATCATCATAATAATTGACAAGTCATTTATTATATTTTGATTATAAACACTTATAATTATAAAACTATAGTAGAAAGAATATTGGGTGTGATTATGTAACGGCCCCGAAAATTTAAATGAAAATGTATCTATTAAAAATTTTTAACGCGGAAGCGAAATAAAAATTTTGATTAACATCCCTTACACAATAACCATAAACGTATTCAACGTATGAAAGAATAAGCTAATTAAAAAAAATACTCGAAATAAAAACTACAAATAGAACTATAAAATCTTTAGGCGTCTAACTCGTCGTCTTCCTGCGGAACGAGCTCGGAAACCACGTATTCCTGATCTGAAATGGTTAAGTAAGGAATGAGCTACACTAGCCCAGTAAAGACATCATACTATCTGTAACGGCCCCGGAATTTAGAATGAGAATGTATGTATTAAA